AGGAACCATTGCAAAGCGATTGCTTTTGCGATGGCAAAAAGTCCATCGCAAAGCGATTTCATTGCTATACGGAGCAATCGCTATGCGAGGCACCACTGTATATGATTTTGATTCTTTCCTAAGTGTATCTTCTAGCAATTCCAAAGACAGGAGCTTATGTTGAAGTAATTATATTGGGAGATGATCTGGCAGATGTATTCACTCTAGTCTCTATAAGAAAAATAAATCAAAATAGAAAGTAATAGTACTATTTGCAGAGACAACTCACATCATTCTTAGTGCAGATTCCACGAGCAATTTCATAATGAAGGCGTGATTCTTGCTGCAGTAAATCTGGCCTATACATTTCAATGTCTGTAAATAAGCCCAGGTTTTCTTGAAAGACTAGTTGAGACCAAAAGGTTACCTCTTCTCCCATGTCTAAGTAATAAATATCTTGGTTTATATTGTGTTCAAATGATATGTATGGACATACTTCATCTAATTTCCATGCAGCACTAAATGCTTCCAATTTCAGTGGATAGATCTGGCGTTTTATATCCCGACCATCAATTGTTAGCAAATACATGTCACCAGAAGGATTACAGTAAAAAATAAAATGTGTCTTTTCCTCTTCCCATGGAGCAAGCTTTACGGTATCTCCCATTTCAAACTTAAAGAAAAAAATGACATTATTTTTCATCTTTATTATGGTGTTTCCATTATAATCTGCAAAAAATAATAATAATTAAGCATTACTTTTCTAGCATGTTTCTTTTTAAAGCACTATTACACATAGAATTCACTTTTCTGAAGTCACAATCCAAAACCCATCAACAAGGGAATTTCCCTCATTAAACACAGCAGCATAGATATAGGATGCTACATTTTAGCATAGGTGGAAGGATGCAACTGTCATGCTTCTTTTAGTTCTTAGGTTTTTGAATCCCACATTTGCTTCAAGGACCTCATGATTCCATTTGTAATTCTTTCTATCAATTTAGTCCTCACAGCTACTTTATGAAGCAGACTATTAATTTTTCTGCACATCAGGAATCCCACTCCACTACCCTGCCACATCATAGCTCTGTTTCAAGTTGGAATAGGATTTGTATAGTGCACTTCAGGTGTCATGAGGGTGGGGTGAGTTTCAAGTCGCTCCCCATTGTGGCTCAAACACAGGCATTTCGTAACTAAAACCCACAACTTTTGGCACCCAGGGCACATCTGGAAATTTAAGAAACTGCCATATATTCTGCTATGAAAATGGCTGCTTTGAAGACCTTATGATCTCTAGTCATTAGGAATGGAAAACAAGCCCAGGAAAATCAATAGAAAAAGAGGTTGGGAGTGAGACCCAAATGCCACATTTGACCCCAGATAGCAAAATGGAAATCTGTTTCACAGAACACAAACTTTTGAGACTGAAAGAAAAGGCATCTCTTACCAGAGGCACAGCTGTCTCCTCTCTCTCAAGCAGAACAAAGGAAAAAGTACAAGGGTAGGAGCTGGGAGGGGAGTGAGGAAGTGAAAACAGTGACACTGTACTTCAGTGCCCAGCTTTGGATAAATCCAGGTGTTCTTTGACTGCACTTCCCAAAAGCCTTCAGGAGCAGCTGTGCGGACTGGGGATTTTGGTCCAAGAGCACTTTTGTTAACCAAGGTTGGGAACCACTGGCATAGTTGAAAGAAAACTATGAATTGAATAAATAAATAAATAAAACCGGCCATTTGAGAATTTATATATACGGTAGAAGAAAGAAATGGTAAACCTGGGGCACCCTGGGACTGTGTAACATCTGAGTGTTCTCTACCTAGAAAACCTTGAAAAGGGCTGCTGTAAGTCAGATTTGACTTGAAGATGCAAAAGGGAAAAAGGGACCTATATACATATGTGGTGGTCTTGTGAAATAAGAAAGAAGGGCACTGGTTTTTAAAGAAATTAGAGAAATCATTGGACATAGCATCTCAAATATCACCAATTGTTGCCCTCCTAAATATAATTAAGAACAACTATCTTAAAAAAGAACAGAGAGTTAATTGTTATAATGGTCACAGTAGCAAGATTAATATTTGCCAAGAATTGGAAAAGTGACAAATAATCTTGAAGACTGGTACAAAGAAATGTGGAGTTTAGCGATTATTTTATTTATTTATTTATTTATTTATTTATTTATTTATTTATTTATTTATTTATTTATTTATTTATTTATTTATTCCATTTATACCCCATCTATCTATTCGTCGCGATTAATGATAAGCTAACATGTGAAATGAAAGTAAGAAGGGAAATGACAAAATATAATGATTTTAAAGAGGTATGGAAGTTATATTTGGAGTATGTTTTAGTGAAAGGGAAAGGTCATAAGCCAACAGAAGGATCAATATATTTTTGGAGTGGAATGGGGTGAAAGGAGATTAAAATGATATTTCTGGTTACCTAGTCCCAAGGGTCAAGGTGGCACAGGTGGGGAATTATAGTAGCATTGTAATGTATGTTAACATTCCATGTTAGTGTTGTTATTTTTTTCTTTCTTTAATAAAACCTTTAAAAAAAGATTTGACTTGAAGGCACATGATTATTATTATCTCCCACTACTATTGTGCATACCTAACTGCTTCCTTTTTAAAAAAATATTTTATTGTATTTTTCTACTTTTCTATCCATTGCAACCAGAGTGATTTATTACAATATGTTCCATTCATTTAATCTTGTCTTATAGTCTTCTAACATAGTAGTAATCTAATCTATTCTACTTAAGTTGATATAGATTTCATTCAGATATAAAGAGGTTCCCATTTATTATTATCCAGTCTGTCATTTAGTGTATCTGTCAAAATATCCATTTCCGCTAGTTCCAAAATCTTCTCAATAAATTCCTTCTTTGTTGGTATCTTTGTAGTCTTCCACTTACTGGCATATACAATTCTAGCTGCCATTATCAGATAAGGTCAAGCAGGTCTTGTTTTTTTCGAATGTAGTTGGTAATATTTTCAATAAGATTTCTGGTGTCAAAGCAATTTTAACCCCTAAAATTTTCTCTATCATTTCATGAATCGTTTGCCAAAAGTCCTTGGCTCTATTGCACGTCCACCACATATGATAGAAGCTCCCTACTTTCTTCTTCTGACATTTCCAACATTTATCAGAAACAGTTTTATACATTTTTGTTAATTTCTCTGATGTTACATACTATCTGTAAAACATGTTGTATATATTTTCTTTTAGATTTATAGATTTAGTCATTTTAATATTTGTTCCCAAATTTGTGACCAGGCACTTAGTTCTATATTATGACCTATATTTTGAGCCTACTTTACATGCAACCCTTCACAATTTCATCTTCCATTTTTTGCTTCATTAAAGTATTATATAAACCTTTAATCATTTTTTCCTTTGAATCCAGCAACCCTTTATCCGAATGTATTTTGTCTTTCTGAAACCCTGTAGTTTTATCTTTTACATATCTTCATTTCAATAAGTTTATTGACCACCAGTCTAATAATACCTTGTTCTGACAGTTCATCTTTGTTCTTTAGATTAAAATCATTATCTAGTATCTTGGCAAATCTCCCGTTTGTCCCTTGAGATGTTCTTGCCAGGTCACAGAACACTTCTAATGGAGTTACCTATAATGGTATATTTCTATAATGTTGTACCTTAACTGTCTTCCAGACCCATAATAAAGCTCTCCTGATCAGATGTAAATTAAATGTTTTGCACTGCTTATCATCTTGGTACCATAGGTAGGCCTGCCAGCCTAGTCTTAAATCATGCCCCTCAATTTTTAAAAGTCTCTGATTTTGTAGAGTAACCCATTCTCTCACCCAGGACAGAGCTGCTGCTCTGTAATAATTCATCCAGTCTGGTAGGCCAAACCCTCCTCTTTATTTATTGTCCTGAAGAGCCTTAAATTTTATTCTTGTTTTTTTCCCATCCCAAACAAACTTGGTCATTATCTTATTCAGTTCTTTAAAAAATCTTGTTTTAATAATATTGGGATTGTCTAAAAGAGGAAAACTAGTTTTGGTAGTATATTCATTTTTATTGCAGCTATTCTACCCACTAGGGATAACTGGAGTTTAATCCATTTTTGCAAATTTGATTTCTTTCATTACTTCCATATAATTGTCCCTCTTTGATGTACTTTTTTTGGTCATATTAATTCCTAAGTACTTAACTTTGCACGTTTCTTGACATCTGGAGTGTTTTCGTAATTTTTTTTCTTCGTCATATTTTTCATCAGAATTTTTGTTTTTTGTTTAATTTAAGACCTATTTATCCACATTCAGTTATTGTCTCTACTAATGTTTCTATTGACATCATAGGTTCTTCTAAGATTATTACTAAATCATCAGCATAATCTTGAATTTTGAAATCTTTAACCCTTTGATTCTCTTATATTCTCTAATTTGTTGGTTCAGGACTTCCAAAATGAGAATAAACAGTAGGGGGGACAGCGGACATCCTTGCCTTGTGCCTTTTTCAATTTGAATTGTTTCTGTCAGCTCTCCACTTTGATTCCTGCTCCATGTTTGGAATACAGTGGTGCCTCACAAGACGATTTTAATTCGTTCCACAAAAATCACAGTCTTGTGAAAAAGATTGTCTTGTGAGGTTCCGTATGCATCGGTCTAAAAAAAAAAAGTCTTGTGAAGCATTGCGCTAAAAAAAAATGTATTGCGAAACACGGTCATAGAAAAAAACGTCTTGCGAGGCACCATAGTGATCGGAAAAACCAATCATCTTGCGGGTTTTTTGCCCCACGAGGAAATCGTCTAGCGAGGCACCACTGTATATTGCTTTAATTTCTCCTATAAACTTCTATCTGGCTTCCATTAATTGCACCTATGTCAGTAAAAAATTCCAATTCATATTGTCAAAGGCCTTCTCTGCATCGAAGAATATTAATGCCATCTGTTTTCCAAGGTGGGCTTCATAGTATTCCAATACATTCAATACTATCCTGATATTGTTTTTCATTTTTCTTTTTGGTAAGAATCCTGATTGGGTCCTGATGAATGATCTGCACTAAAACCTTTTTCAATCTGTTTGCTAATATTGATGCAAAAATTGTATAGTCTACATTCAATAATGAGATTGGTCTACAGTTTTAGATTTCTGATCAGTACCTTCTTTATGTATTACTGAAATTATTGTTTCTTTCCATAAAGTGGGAATTCCTTTTTCTTCTATTTCTTCTGTTAATTCCTTAAAGGGTAAACCTAGAACTTCTTCAAAATTCTTGTAATATTCAGCCGGTATTCCATCACTTCCTGGAGATTATTCTTTTGTTTTCTAATAGCTTCCACCACTTCACGCATCGTTATTGAGGAATTCAAGATCTCTTTATTTTCTTTAGATAATTTCTTTAACTGAAACTTCTGCAGATATTCTCTTTGCTTTATTATTGATTTTCCTGGTTCTTTGTATAGCGCTTGATAGAAATCCTTGATAATTTTTAAAATTTCCTTCTGCTCCAATTTAATCTCTCCTTCCTGATCTTTAAGATTTATAATTTGATTTCTTGTTTATTCTTTTCTCAGTCTATAAGAAAGCCATCTGCCTGGTTTGTTTGCTTTTTCAAAACAATTATTTTGCTTATTTATCTTCATTGCCATTTCTGACATCCACCATAGATTTATTTGATGTTGTACTGATTTCATATTATCTGCTAGTTTTCCAGTTAAGCTATTTTGTTTTGACGTTTGTTCTATCTAGAAGAGTT